GAGTTTATGAGTCCTCTGAAGTTGCTCACGAGCTCCGAGTTCTTCACTTTCCCCCCTCGCTCCAGCAAAAAGCTCAGGATCGTATCTCGAGTCAGAGCCATTTCCCCTCCGCAGTACTTTCTCTTCTTTAGTGTCTGTGTGAGATGTTTCAAAAGCAACCTGCTGCTTCCGGCTATCCTCTGAAACCCTCCTGCCTCTTATCCCAGCATCAGATCATTCAGAGGCGTTCCCTTGAGAATTCATGAATAGGAGTTAACAAATCTTTAGCTATCCACTAGGGGGCAATCTGACTCCCACTGAGAGGGGGGGACCCCAGATAGAAAAGATTTGTAAGTGTGCATCTCGTCCACAACTCTAACTCTATACAAACGTATCTAATAGCACATGAAGTCATTAAATAAACAGACAAACAAAGAAATCCTAAATATTAAATGCATACATGCCAAGCCGAGAATATGGTGGTTTGCATGCCGTCTTCTGGTTAGTTCATTTGCAGATCAATTTTCACAAGTAGGACACTCTCCAGACTTCTCAGTGGTGGTTTAATGTCGTCTCCGTGTTTGGTGCTACTTTGGTATAAAATAGAATTTGACACTTTATTCGGTTGCATAGCTATTTTGTTGTATTCTGTTTATTTTTAAGACACGCCTACAGAATTAACCATTAATATTCCTTTGTAAAAAAAAAAAAAAGCACAATTTCCACGATTGATTTAAATGATGGAGGCTGGCTTTACAAAATAAAAATGCTGGAAGACCTGTTGATCTCCATATGTTGGTGTGGAAAAACACCAATCTGTACACTAAAAATAACAAGATTTTATTTATATTTCATTACAAACATTACATTTTGAATTACCCCATCAAACGACAATTTAAAGTTAGCTGTTTTTGGGAAACAACTTCACACTAGAGAAGGGGGTCATATGATGCGATTTCATTTTTTCCTTTCTCTTTGGAGTGTTACAAGCTCTTGGTGCATAAAGAAGATCTGTAAAGTTGCAAAGACTAAAGTCTCAAATCCAAAGAGATATTCTTTATAAAAGTTAAGAGTTAACCACGCCTACCTAAAACGTCTCGTTCTAACACGCCCCCACATGTCTACATCACTATGTGGGAAGATTTGCATAACGCCGCTCAAATGTTCACGCAAAGAAAGAAGGCGTAACTTTTATTCTCGCTGTAGTATTGTTGCCGCCGCCACCGCCATGTCGTGAAGACGCTGTGTGCTTCGTTGTGAAAGTGAAACTACTTTGTTTAGTCTTCCAAAAGAGGACGATATCGCTTCGTCATGCCTGGAGCTGATCCGTGCTGGTCGCTGAGGAAATATATCAACTTTGAGCTGTAGATCGCCGGATCGGCTTTCACCGTGGACGGAGCGGAGTCCAGCCAATCCTGGGAGAGTAGACTACAATGCCGGCTGTTCTGACTCACAGACTGTAAGTACATTTTCATATTTAAAGGATTTGCCACTGATGATTCAAACGCGAGTTTTGAGCAGTGTAGAGTAGGGCTTGTTTGTCATTTCTCCGATCACAAATGCAGACATAGTTTTATGTTTACGCGGCGCGATGCAATGCAACACGTAAAAAGACAGTATAAGTCATTATAATCAGTAATTATGTCCCCACTGGATGCAACAAATGCCTCGTTTATAATGGGTTTTAATGTTTTTGTCTCGTCGCTCCGGCCGGACACATCATCACAGTATGGTGAGGGGCGTAACATTTCCGTCACACGCTTGAGGTATTCAGCCAATCACAACGCACTGGATAGCTGGCCAATCAGACCGATGAGCTTTGTAAAAAATCGACGAGTTTCAGAAATGCGGGGCATAGAGGAGAAACAATAATGTACAGTATGTGGAAAATAATGTTTTTTTTTTTTTACCTTAAACCGCATAAACACATTTCATTACACCAAATACACAAAATAATGTTATTTTTAGCAACATCATATGACCCCTTTAATTAGCTATAAACAGATGTAACAATGACAATATATCACATAGGGAGCAAGACAATAATGTAGACTACCTTTTGAACCGATTCACATTTCTTAAGCTTTCTTATTAGAGGAGTCAGAAATCATACACGCATAAGAGTTTTAAATCTTCAAGAAAAATATTTTTACTTTGTATTTTATAAGACAGTTGTCTGTACAAGAAACAAAATGAGCATAAAGGCAGATGAAGTGCTCAAGAGACTTTGGCCACACTGAAGGCCCTTTTTTTTATTTTCTTGGAGTAATAAATATATTTTGTAAGGTTTGTCTACAACTCTCAATCAAAATGGTTTTAAAAAGGTTTACAATAGTAGACACCATTATTGAATCACGAGTGTTGCTAAAATGTAACTTTTTATGGCTTTTTCATTTAAAAAAAAAAAAGATTATTAATCTGAATGTCTGACAAAAAACGCTGTTTACTTCTGTATGCTTTGCTTGTTCTATCTCGTGCACTAGAAACAGGCCTAGCAGTCATCATCATCATAATAAACTAACTATGCTAAACAGTGTCTGAATCAGAATGCTTATCATTGGTTTATGTCCGACTAATGCACTATGCAACCTGGATTACATAATCAGATTCCAAAATTTACTCCTAATTAGATTACATTTTAAAGTGGTCATAATCAGATTACAGTTACTTTTGATAGATTACACGACTACACTGTAAAAAAAAAATCTGTGACATTTACTGTAAAATACCGGCAGCTGTGGTCGCCAGAACTTCACCGTAAAAAGTATGGTAGCAACATTTTAGGTTTTACAGGCTTAACTTAAATTCACAATAAAATACCGTATTTCATTAACTGATGTAATGTTAATAAACCATCATATTGAAGTACTAATATCTGTTTTAAACCATTGTAATGCACTGATAACCACCAAAAACTGCTGGTGATGAGAAAGTCACATGCTGAACCAAAGCTCATCACAAACATTACTGTAGCATTTTTACAGTCTTTTACTGTTAAAATCACAATTCTTTTTTACAGTGTACATATTATTTGCAAAACGGCAGCAAATTATTCATAATGCAACGACACACCCTTATTATTTTTTCCCTCTTAAATGGTCCTTTCTAAAAAAAATCTTACTGCATTTTTGGAATCAAACCGGTTCAATGCACTTAATGCTGTTGATAACGAATAATGGAGAATATTTTATAATGCGTTAGGTCAAAAGTAATCAAAAAGTAGTCAGAATACATTAACTAATATGTGTAATCCAAAAGATTGTTACTAAACTACAATTAGTAACAATCTTTCTACAATTTTCATCATGTGAGTAATCTACGCAGCGCTGCCATTTCTGACTGATAATTAGAGATCAGAGGTGAACTTTTACTTTTTTGGATTATTGATTTCCAACTTCATATTAAAAACTTTCACACAGAAGTCACTTTCAAACCAAAGTTGGTCTCCCAAATTTGCAGTGTTGACAAACAGAAAGCTTAGTTACTTCTATGTGAGCGATGGTTCACGCCTCTCTGCTGCAGACAACACACCTGTTTTGGATGCCAAATTTTACAGAAATGTTAATGTGACAGCACTTTTAGAAATCACTAAATTACCAAAATGCTAATCAGATTTTTTGCAATCAGATTGCAAGCAAGTGCACATTTATATGTAAATCAACAATCCTCTCTTACACCGAAAAAAAGTATTTAATGAATGCATGTTGGCTTATTGAAAACTGGCTGTTTATTGAAAGAATAAGATGCAAAACTACAATAAGAATCGTCCCAGACCACATTTAGTAAAACAATCAAGTGCATAAATCACAATTTCAGGATGTTTACATTGTCATTCCACTTTGAACACATTTGGCAAAAACAAGCAACAACTAATCATTACTTACTAACGAGTGCACTTGTTTCGTTTGAAGACTGCATCGCTTAATTGACCTTAAATGACACAGTAACAAAACATCCGCTGGGTAATTTTTTTAATATATATATATTTTGGATAATTTTTTTAAATAATATTTCAAAAGCTTAGAATGTATTAGTCAGTAATGTATTTCAGTAACCTGATTCAGGTCATGCTGCGACATGTTGAATATTTATGTATCTGTTAAAGGCATTAATGCACAAATAGCTGCATACAAATGCGCTCAGTCACACAAACCACTGGGTTTTGAAATCAAATGAAGATAAAAAAAAAAAATTTAAAAGCTTAAAGTTGACGAGATAATGCACATTTAAATGTGGCAAAGGCAGCTCAAGTGTTGCCGAACAATAAAATGAATATGCTGAATCTTAAAAGACACTTAAAATGGTTTAGCGTTTTCTTGGTTACTAACTCTCTGAGACAGCAGATCGCTGCTTTCTTTGGAATGTACTGCATCTCAGCACTTGAGGAAAATATGAAAAGTATAGAGTTCATTTGTTCACTTTTAAAAGAAATCGTCACATTCCTTCATGTCCCACAACAAGGTATATACTATAAATAAAAGATGTAATAAATATTCACTTAACCATGATCATAAAACACAATAAATCACTTTTAAATTGCTGTTTTCACAAAATAAAACTTTTTTTTTTGTAGTTGATTTTCCTTACCTGGATTGTCATTTTTAAAGGGACAGTGCATCCAAAAATGAAAACCCTGTTATTTACTCACCCTCAAGTTGTTTCAAACCTGTACATGTGCTGAACACAGGAAGATATGTTGAATAATGTTGCTAACCAAAAGGTTTCTGGTTCCTATTGATTTCCATAGTATTTTTTCTGGTTACAAACACATGCAAAACACCTTCGTTTTGTGCTCAACTGTGGCTAAACTCACACAGGTACAACTTGAGTGTGTTTGTCATTTTTGGGTGTACTATCCCTTTAAATTGGCCAGCAAGAATACTCGTACTGTAAACGGAGAGCCTCTGGAATGGCCGGACAGCCAAAGCTGTGTAAGCTGATCCATGCAGCATCACAGTGACAAACCTCTCCTGAGGCGACTGAATTGGGACGCCCCTCGGCTACAGGCACTGTGGTAACGCTCAGACCACCTCCTCCTCGCAGTGAGCGTCTCCCACCAGCAGAGAGTGCTTGTCGGGCTCGCTGAGGGCCATGCTGTTCATCGAGTGCTTGTCGGAGCGCAGCGAGTTGATGGAGGCCCGGCTGTAGTTGACGAAGCGGTCGAGCAGGCTGAGTTTGGGCGAGGGCCGGCGCAGCTCTCCCATGCCGATGTGAACGCTGACTTCAGACAGGCTGCCGTGTCTTCTCACCTCGCCCAGTCGTCTCTCCAGTTTCTCAGCGCTGGGTTTAGTGTAGCTGCAGAAACACGGAACGAGGGTCAAGTTCAGGGCTGGGCAATATAGCTAAAAATGCTCACGACCAGTGCTGGGTAAGTTACTCAAAAAAAGTAATCCACTACAAATGACTTTCAAGTTTAATTTACTTTTCAAGTTATCAAACCTAAAAAATACATTACAAAGCGAAACTCATAGAATACTTGACACGCATACGAGAAACATATGTAAAGAAAGCGTGAAGTGTCTATTTTTAACTGAAGTCAGTCATGTCGAAAACAAATATTCTCTGATAAAATAATCCGTATGAAACCACGGTGAGGTACAGTCTTGAGCTCACCACGCACATCACATGCTATAAAATATTGAGACGCGCGAATATGTGAACGCCCACATCGCCTCCGTAAACAAAAAGATTCATCAAGTTCATCTCGGCTACTTTTCGTTTTCGGAAGACGACGCGCTTTGAGGAATAAGCCTTGAATCTACCTCAGAAGAACAATGCGATGCCGACGCGGCTTAATGCGAAAGATCTCATTCTGATGAGTCATTTATTTTTACTTAGGCCTATATTAGTGTTACTGTGACACAAACTTGTACACATTCACTTTTCCAAAACTATAATGCCTGACTAAAATATGTGAAATCGAGTGCACATTTTGAAATATGATAGGTAACCTTTAATTGCATCTGAATGTTGTAGGACTCATCTGCATTTTAGCTCGCATTATCCGCCGATTTATTAAAGGACATACTGATGCGCAAAACGATTTTTACTTCATATTTCTGAACACTGCAGTCTGCATTTGTAACTTAAGTAACGCAATTCCTCTGTAACGCATTATACCCAACTCTGATCACGACATACTGTTTAATAGGCCTGTCGCAATAATCAATATATCAACTTACGAATATATCGATGTGCGAATATATCGCACAATACATGTACATGACCTCAATCATTTTTGGTGACGCAATATATCGCCCATTATATTTACATAAAAAATTAATGTCACCGTGTTTTGCACATTCCACTTGCGCCGGTGTCTTTAGCAGCTTCTCGTACATAACGTGGGGTAGTCTTGAGGTGCTCGTTCAAATTTAAAAAATGCTTCTACAAACAAAGTTTCATCTGCAGATATGGTCTTAGTTAGGGATCTGTGTCTTTGTGCATACGCACTTCTGACTGCTGAGTAGTGATTGTGTTTCTCAGCAATAGTGTGCACTCTTCATTTACAGAGAAGAGAAGGTCAGGGGAAAATCTCCATACAAGTTCTTTGTGCATTTTTCTTGTTACTTTGCACTTTTTGTTAGAAAATGTTTATATACTATTTATTCAAATTTTTTAAGGTATCTAATATTTTGATACTTAATCTCCATGATCTAAATATTCTTAAGAATTAAAAGTTTGTTGTCATTTGAAAGTGTGTAGGCCTTCTTGCATTATTATGCTGTTAAATTATGATTATATATTCAGTGGCATAAAATGGTCTTAAAATGACAATAATATCGCTTACCGCAATAATTTCTGGGGCAATATATTGCTTATCGTGACAGGTCTACCGTTTAATATCATTCGGTATCGATAATTATTGAAATTTTTTAATAACCATTTTGCAGGAAAGAGCAGAAGAAAAAAAGGTTTCAATATAACCAGTGTATTTTTAATTTACACAATCTAATAAGACAAACAACAAATCATTTTAGGTGGGCGATATGGCAAAAATATCATCATATCACAATTTTTTTTCCAGGAATATCACGATCCTTTGCCATGTTGGTTGTACTATTTTGTCTGAGTTTGACTAAGTTGTCTGAGCAGTAAAGCCAAACTAATTTCCCTATTTTAGCTTAGCTTAGCTTAAGGCCAAAGCCTTACAAGGTAACAAAATACAAAAGAGTGGCAGATATTTAGGCCAAAGGGGGCGAAGATAAAAATCTTTGTCGTCATTTTATCTTTATTATTAAAAAATAAGAACAAAGATACACATTACAAATACACAATATACAAATAAAACAAACAGTGCTTTATTTCTCAGGTACGGTAGGCATATTTAGAAGTAGCATTCAAGAAATTGATTTAACAAATATAAAAATAAAACACTAAATACATCAGTTATACTTTGATTCTTATTTAAGCAACTGTATTCAATTATTGTGTTTTGTTGACAAAACACAAAAACATAAGAGATACAGTAGAATGGAATAAATTCCCACAAATTCTCGAGACATGTTTTCTAAAAGTTGCACCTCTTTTAACTTTGCATGGCTTTCTATACATCTCTTGTGTGAGACGCGAGTGCAACAGTCATAGTTGCCCGTCTCGAAAATGCACTGTTTTAACCAAACCACATCTCCACATTGAGCTTCTGTATTTCTCTAACATTTTGAATGAAAAACGCAGCAGTGGCGCATCTCGTGGGTTCAACTGGATAGGCTACAGCACAGTTTTCGGATTTGAATGCAAATTTTTATTTTAAATTCGACTAATATTCCTTTTTTATTCACAATCTCATCGCAGGCATGCATGACACTTATTTCAGCATTCGTGTGTTCTGATGTCACAATTTATTGGCTTGTCGCTCATAGCACGCAGCTTTAAATGAAACGAGCATGAAGCTGTCTTGCAGTATATTGCACATTTTTTCTATCATTTTGTATCAGGTGTACCGTCGATAAATACTGATACCGTTTTAATCGCGCAGGCCTAGTCAAGTCAATCTTTTGAGCATCTAAAGGAAACACTTAAAAAGCCTGCTGAGTCCAAAATAGCAAAGCCTGTTACTAAAGCATGCAAAAATGTTTATTAAATCGAACTGTGTGAAGATCAGAGAGGTTTACCATTTGAGTAGGAGGGAAGACAGCACTACAGACACAGAGGAGGCAGCCATCGCAGCAGAGCCCATCCAGGGCTGCAGCACCAAACCCACCGGCATAAACACACCTGCACACAGCAGCATCCAATAATCACACTCTAGCAATAATACAAATGTGTAGATTAGTGTCCGAATACTTTATAAACCATTAGAGGCATAAATCCCGTGCTTTTTGCTGTGAGGCCTAACTGATATATTATTATGCTACATAATACTGACCTTCAAAGAAAAGTAGCTACAAACTAAAACTTGTACAATATTGTTTACGTTGACGTGCCCTATTTTACTCAACTGGGAAAAGAATTGTAAAACATTGGAGAAAAATGAATTCAGTCAGCCTTTTTTCAGCAAGGATGCATTAAATAGAGCAAAAGTGACTTTAACAATGTAACACAATATGTTTTCAAATAAATGCTGTTCCTTTGAACTTTCTAGTCATCAGAAAAAAAAAAAAAGTTTTAGCATTGATAATAATCAGAAATGTTTCTTGAGCAGCAAATCATAATATTCATCAGGATCATGTGGCACTGAAGAGTGGAGTAATGATGCTGAAAATTCAGCTTTGATCACAGGAATAAATTACAGTTTAACATATATTCACGGAGAAAACAGTTATTTTAAATTGTAATAATATTTAGCTGTTTTTACTGTATTTTTGATCAAATTAATGCAGCCTTGGTGAGCAGAAGAGACATAATTAAAAACCTTACTGACACCAAACTTTCGAAACAGTTGGATGAATAGAAAATATATTAGCTAATTTATTATTTAGTTATTTGAAAGGTTTTTAGAAAATGCAAAAACATTTTCTCTCACCATTTTTGACTTCATTTCTTAAGCATTTCAGGCTCTATTCTGTACCCTGTCTGTGGAAAGTGCCAATAATACTGATATAATTTAATATTTTTTATCTTATTTGGTTTAGTTGTTCTTACCTGCAGCAATGGGAATCCCCACAAGATTGTAGATCAGCGCAAACACAAAGTTGATTCTGATTCTTTTCACTGTCTTCTTAGAAAGGTCGATACTCCCAACAACATCAAGAAGATCATTCTGTTTAAGACAAAAAAATATATAAAAAAATGATGAAACAAAAAGTGCCATCTCATGTTAATCTAAACCATACAAGTTTTGTGTTTGGGTTAAAAAAAGGGGGTAAGAAAAGGATACACATTTCTAGCCCTACAAATGGTTAAAAATGCTACTTTTGTAAAAAAAATTAAGAAATAAATTATTTTTTAAAAATCTCAAACGGGCAGATTTGATACTTTTAGATTCTAACATCCAAGTGCAAGCCTTCAGATCAGCAGGTTAAGACTGACAACATTAATTCAGCTTCAACCACAACATGTCTCAAGATAGCACAGCCATTACAGTCTTCATTGAGGGTTGCGACGATAAATCGATTGGTGGATCGATTCTGAGATCTTCCGAATGCATCGCGATTCTTTCTGCAATCGATTCTGAGCTTAGATTTTAACAGCAGATGGCGCTCTAGGCCAGTTTTTATCCGCACACTCAAATGCTCACGAAGAAGAGTGCTGAAGAACTGTAATTTCACCTCGGCTCAGAATGCTTTTATGACGCGAGATTAATGTAAACACAGCCCACTGTAAACACCCTTGCAATTCGCTACAACCTTTTCAAATTTTATGAATGATTATTTTAGGTTCAAGTGTGTGTAAGGATTTGGAAACAAGCAGAGTACGGCTGTTTCTGAAGCATGCAGTCAGAATTGACTCGAGAAAGAACGATGAATATGAACGATGCATATTAAAGTAGTGTTCATAAGCGCAGCTCTGCTATGTTTACAGCGGTAAACACTGTATCATTGCTGTTCATGAGCGCCACCTGCTGGCAGAGAGTGAATCTGCGTCTCACTCAGCTCGTCTACTGTTTCGTTCAGATGTGTTTTATGTGTAGTTTCACAAAACTGAAGTCAGACCATTCTGTTTTTGCTTCAAATATCGAAATTATACAATCTAATTTAGATTAAAAACTGCTCATGTTGCGTGTATGCAGCATCTTTGTTTGGATCGTGATTAAAATGCAGTGGTTGCCCTTATTTGTGTAACTTACTTATTTGATTTGAGGTTTGTTTTTAAAGTTTAATTTAGTTTTGTTATATTTCAATTTCACAAAGAAACGTGCGGCAATAGCCTAATAAAATGACAACTTAATTAATGCAGCCTTGGTGAGCAGAAGAGACATAATTAAAAACCTTACTGACACCAAACTTTCGAAACAGTTGGATGAATAGAAAATATATTAGCTAATTTATTATTTAGTTATTTGAAAGGTTTTTAGAAAATGCAAAAACATTTTCTCTCACCATTTTTGACTTCATTTCTTAAGCATTTCAGGCTCTATTCTGTACCCTGTCTGTGGAAAGTGCCAATAATACTGATATAATTTAATATTTTTTATCTTATTTGGTTTAGTTGTTCTTACCTGCAGCAATGGGAATCCCCACAAGATTGTAGATCAGCGCAAACACAAAGTTGATTCTGATTCTTTTCACTGTCTTCTTAGAAAGGTCGATACTCCCAACAACATCAAGAAGATCATTCTGTTTAAGACAAAAAAATATATAAAAAAATGATGAAACAAAAAGTGCCATCTCATGTTAATCTAAACCATACAAGTTTTGTGTTTGGGTTAAAAAAAGGGGGTAAGAAAAGGATACACATTTCTAGCCCTACAAATGGTTAAAAATGCTACTTTTGTAAAAAAAATTAAGAAATAAATTATTTTTTAAAAATCTCAAACGGGCAGATTTGATACTTTTAGATTCTAACATCCAAGTGCAAGCCTTCAGATCAGCAGGTTAAGACTGACAACATTAATTCAGCTTCAACCACAACATGTCTCAAGATAGCACAGCCATTACAGTCTTCATTGAGGGTTGCGACGATAAATCGATTGGTGGATCGATTCTGAGATCTTCCGAATGCATCGCGATTCTTTCTGCAATCGATTCTGAGCTTAGATTTTAACAGCAGATGGCGCTCTAGGCCAGTTTTTATCCGCACACTCAAATGCTCACGAAGAAGAGTGCTGAAGAACTGTAATTTCACCTCGGCTCAGAATGCTTTTATGACGCGAGATTAATGTAAACACAGCCCACTGTAAACACCCTTGCAATTCGCTACAACCTTTTCAAATTTTATGAATGATTATTTTAGGTTCAAGTGTGTGTAAGGATTTGGAAACAAGCAGAGTACGGCTGTTTCTGAAGCATGCAGTCAGAATTGACTCGAGAAAGAACGATGAATATGAACGATGCATATTAAAGTAGTGTTCATAAGCGCAGCTCTGCTATGTTTACAGCGGTAAACACTGTATCATTGCTGTTCATGAGCGCCACCTGCTGGCAGAGAGTGAATCTGCGTCTCACTCAGCTCGTCTACTGTTTCGTTCAGATGTGTTTTATGTGTAGTTTCACAAAACTGAAGTCAGACCATTCTGTTTTTGCTTCAAATATCGAAATTATACAATCTAATTTAGATTAAAAACTGCTCATGTTGCGTGTATGCAGCATCTTTGTTTGGATCGTGATTAAAATGCAGTGGTTGCCCTTATTTGTGTAACTTACTTATTTGATTTGAGGTTTGTTTTTAAAGTTTAATTTAGTTTTGTTATATTTCAATTTCACAAAGAAACGTGCGGCAATAGCCTAATAAAATGACAACTTTTCATTTACTGTATAATCTCCGTTTTTTTAAATAATCGTGAGAAAATCTAATCGTGAAATCAAAATCGTGAATCGGGAGTTGAGTGAATCATTACATTCAATTCAAGTTTATTTGTATAGCCGTTTTCACGATGCGAATCATTGCAAAGCAGCTTTACAGAAAATTTAAGTTGTTTTTTAGTCATAGCTTATCAGTGGTGACTGTCTCAAGTTGATGTTCATACGGCTGAAATGCACGGTAAAAATCAAGCAGTTAGTTAAAGTCATGTAATCAAACAGACGGTGAACACTATTAACAGCAATGATTATATGTTGCGGTCAAACTTACAGCAAAATTTGGTAGTTTTGCATGTTGTCTGAATCCCTAGCATTCGGAAAATCTCAGAGTTGATCATTTCTCGATTCGCAATGCAATGCATCGATTTATTTTCCCAGCCCTAGTCTTCATACCCTGATGAGCACCACGTCGGCTGCCTCGATGGCTACATCCGTGCCCGTGCCTATAGCGATGCCCACATCTGCCATGGCCAGCGCCGGCGAGTCGTTCACTCCATCGCCCACCATTGCGACGCGTTTTCCCGCTAGCTGGAGCTGCTCCACTTTCGCCACCTTGTGAGATGGCAAGACTTCTGCAAACACCTTCCTGATGCCCACCTGGAAAAACCCCACAACCTCAGCTGCTAAACAATCACCGCTCCAAGAGAACAATCATCACTGAAGGGAATGTTAAAGGGTGCTGTACCTGGGCAGCGATGGCTCGGGCTGTTTTGCTGTTGTCTCCCGTCATCAGCACGACCTGCAGCCCCATTGCTGTGAGAGTGTGGACGGCCAGCTCAGCCTCAGGCTTCACCGTGTCTGCTATGGCCACCATTGCACAAAGCTCATCTGAGAAGGATGCAGCACACATGCTCAAAATAAACAAACAATGTGCACATTTGTGACCCTGGACCACAAAACCAGTCATAAGGGTCAATTTTTCTTTCAATTTCGCCAACTGATCTCTATATAAGGATATTATATAGAGATGACATGACATTTCTCACTATTAACTACCATGCATATTGCTAATATATTGGCTGTTTATTAGTATTCATAAAGCACTTATTAATGCCTTATTCTGCATGAGTTAAGAGTTGTATGTTGTATGAATTAGGAGTTTATTGAGGCAAAAATCATAGTTAGTTAATAGTGAGAATGGGACCTTTAAAATAAAGTGTGACCAATTGTAACCCTGGACCACAAAACCAGTCATAAGGGTCAATTTTTCAAAATTGAGATTTATACATCATCTGAAGCTGAATAAATAAGCTTTCCATTGATGTGTGGTTTGTTAGGATAGGACAATATTTGGCTGAGATACAACTATTTGAAAATCTGGAATCTGAGGGCGCAAAAAAATCAAAATATTGAGAAAATCGCATTTAAAGTTGTCCAAATGAAGTTCTTAGCAATGCATATTACTAATCAAAAATTAAGTTTTGATATATTTACAGTAGGACATTTACAAAATATCTTCATGGAACATGATCTTTACTTAATATCCTAATGATTTTTGGCATAACTTTTTTTTTATAATTTTGACCCATACAATGTATTTTTGGCTATTGTTACAAATATACAGTTGCAAATATATTGTTGCAAATTCATATCGAATTCTCGATGACACGAGTCCAAACCAGTGAAATCTAATTTTCAAACCCATGCTGATGAAAACAAAGCGATCGCGCTGACTGACATTTGCAAAGCGCGTGCATAAGACGCACCTCTCCGGGAGTGCGTGATAAGTACATTGCGAAATATGTCTTGACGAGATTCACACAATAATCTATAATGTCTTAAATGAGCGTTTAGTTAATGGTTGGGGAAAAATCTGATGTGTGACATTAAATTAGATCCATGCATTAAGGTAGGTAAACTATTGTTTATTTGCATCTTTGTTCTTATTTTTAAAAACAAAGATAAAATAAAAAATAGCTATATTGTGATTAATGGGCTGTAGCTCAGTCGTTTTCCGTCTGATTCCAACAAGTCATATGTCATTTTGAAGGTATTTTAATGAAGAACTCATTTTTGAAAATTTGCTTATTCCGACTCATTTTGCAAGCACGGGTCACATTTTTAGTCAGGGGCAGCCCTAGAACTAAATGCATCATTAGTTGCCGAAAGAAAAATCTACCGATGTCAGAAATATTTTTACAATACTTTTACAATCAAACTCTTGTCTGATGTTTCATATGGAAATTCCTAGTGATCAAAGTGTGTCTGAAATCACAGAGTCTCACTCACTGTCCACAGCCACCAGCACTGCAGTGCGTCCTCTCTTCTCGTGCTCCGTCATGGCTTCATCCACATCTGCTCGCACCTGCAGCGCGCTCCTCCTCATCCACTCTCTGTTCCCTATCAGCACGGTGAACGAGGCCGTCTGGACTACAGCTGAAACCGCAAACACAAGCATTGTGGTGTGTTCACACCAGAGGTTGCGTTAGATTTTAAAGTGCCCCTATTATGGACCTTTCATGCAGTGTGTAACACAGCTCTAAGTGAATGGAAACATCCTGCAAAGTTTTAAATCTGAAAGTGCACCGTGTATAAAGTTATTGTCTCTCAAAAGAAAGAGTCGACTCCGAATCATTGAAGCGAGTCGTTTTTGAAACGAATCCCAAGCCGTTTCATGTTGAAGTCAACATGAAACATTTGCATATTGCCCACCCACTTGGTCTTTTCGTGTTGCTCTGAATGAAAATGCAAATTAATTCTATGCCACTAGGTGCCGCTTTTGGAGCGGTAAAATAAAGCAATTGCTGTGGTATATGAAGAAGTACTTAAAGTGTGTGGAAAGCAAAGTTACAATGATATAAAATTAGTGTCATTGATGTTTTTTGTTTGCATGTTCACACTGATGTTAAAATGACATTTTCTGATTTGTGACATTACTTTTTATGTACTGCTAAAACACTGCTGGTCACTTTCAGAAGTTGTAGTGATTCTTTCTTTTCCAAGAAAGAATGTGAAACAAATTGGTTATATAATTTTCATTTTTAAATATTTTAAAATATAATTGAAATCGATTTTACACACTTTAAGCAATATCGTATCGCATATCGAATATCGAATTTTTTTAACAAGGTATCGCATTTTTCTTTAATATCAAACAGCCCTAGTAATTACACACTATTACACTCTCAGATTTGTGTTTCATTTCGAGTATGCAGCCAATGGGATCCTGCAGAAGCGGTCATGTGACACTCACCGAGCGGCTGCGGGTCCATGATGAGCGGGTGGTCACTGCTGAGCGCTCTGGTGTCGCTGATCTGGATCAAGACGGCATTGCGCTGGTTCTCCTCGCTGTCGCTGTCGTCTCTCTTCAGCAGGTTTTCTGTGTTACTGACCAGACACCTGATCCCACAACCCGGCACGGCCTGGAAATCTGTACAGGTGCCGAGAGACTCCGTACCCAGCTCCTGAACACAGAAGAGACATTGTGAACGTAAATGCCAAATACAGACTCTTACGCAAACCAAGCACTGATGTTTAAAACAGTCACAAAATACTGAAACATTCTGCACTTGTTTAGACACAACAAATATATTATTTATTTATTTACATATGCTGCTGTTTAAAAGTTGAAAGAAGTTTCTTATGCTCAGCAAGGCAAGCACAAATACAGTAAAAATTGCAATTTAGCTAAATATTTTTACAATTTAAAATAGCTGTTTTGTATTTGAATATATGTGACCCTGGACCACAAAACAAGTACATTTTTTTTTACTTATACAGCATCTGAAAGCTGAATAAATGGGTTTTTAGGGTTGTTAGGACAGGACAATATTTGGCTGAGATACAACTATTTGAAAATCTGGAATCTGAGGGTGCAAAAAAATCTAAATATTGAGAAAATTATCTTTAAAGTTGTCCAAATGAAGTTCTTAGCAATGCATATTACTAATCAAAAATTAAGTTTTTATATATTTACGATAGGAAATTTACAAAATATCTTCATGGAACATGATCTTTACTTAATATCCTAATGATTTTTGGCATAAAAGAAAAATCATTAATTTTGACCCATACAATGTATTGTTGGCTATTGCTACAAATATCCCCCAGCGACTTAACACTGCTTTTGTGCTCCAGGGACGCATATTTTATGTACTTTTTTCTGTTTTTTCAAAGCTGAATTTTCAGCATCATTACTCTAGTCTTCAGCCTCACATGATCCTTCAGAAATCTCAAAATATATTTCTGATTATTATTAATGTTCTTTGATAAATAGAACGTAAAAAAAAACAAGTTATCCAATGACCCTAGTCTTGCATGTACTTTAGTTATGATAATTATGGCTTAAAATGTACTATAATTTTTTTTAAATAAAAAGACAAGTAAATGTATCATATATTTTCATGTGTTATAATATTTTCAGTAAAGTTTATATGTCATTAGGCAACAGTTTTAGAAATTAAAATGTTTTGCAAACTAAAATGATATTTATCCGTAAATAAATAGCTTTAATAATTACATAATAAAATGTATTGTTTTAAAAACTACGGCTTTTTTGTTTTCTTAAACGATGTAGAACAGCTGTTGCATTTTATTTACATAATATATTTTATTTAATGTGTAACTTTAAAGGGACAGTTCACCCAAAAATTAAAATTGGCATCTTTTACATACCCTCAAATTGTTCCAAACCTGTATTTGTTTCATTTTTCTGTTGAACACAAAAGAGAATATTTTGAAGAATGTTGGTAACCATGGAATGTATGGAACAAAATACTATGGAAGTCAATGGGGACCAGAAACTGTTTGGTTACCAACATTCTTCAAAATATCCTCTCTTTTGTGTTCAACTGCTGGAAAAAACTCTGGAAATTTTTTTTTTGAAAACTTTCATTTTTGGGTGAACTATCCCTTTAACTTAGCTTAACCCCACCACAGTTTGTAAGTAAAGAAACAACACACCATGAAGTCAAACTGACCTGTTTGCAATATTTGGTGATGGCAGCACCCAGTGGATGTTCACTGTTATTTTCAGCAGTGCCGATGATCGCCAGCAGCTTAGAGCGTGGTATCCGGTTCCCCTCCGCCAGCATCTTCACCTGGACCACTTTGGGAGCGCCATACGTGATGGTGCCGGTTTTATCAAACACCACACACTGAATCTGAAAGCACAGACAGATTTATAAAATGGTTTTCCTCTGCACAACACGACAAAATCAGTGGCCCGTCTCTGACCTTGTGTGCCATCTCTAAGGGCTCTCCTCCCTTGATGAGGATCCCGTTCTGGGCTCCCACACCGGTCCCCACCATAACCGCAGTCGGGGTGGCCAGACCCAGAGAGCAGGGGCAGGCGATGCAGAGGACCGTGATGGAGGCCTGGAAGGCGAAGCGGATGACCGCCTCTGCCTCAGAGATGCTCTTATCATAACCCTGCAGAGAGAGACGGTCATCATTTCAATGTGTTCAAAGAAAGAACATAAACCTGGTCTAGCATTAAAGGAATAGTTCAGCCAAAAATGACAATTTGCTGGTAATTTATTCATCCTCAGACCATGCAAGACGTTCGTTTTTTTCCTTCAGTAGAACAGATTTTTAGTTAAAACCGTGGGCCTTGGTGATTCAAGAGATGCAATTCAGTGGCTGCCCGTTTTTGAGAATTAAAAACCAAAGCATATCAAGGAACAGAAAATTAATCCCTGTGGCTCCTGACGATATATATTGAGGTCTTATGAAGCGAAACGATGGGTCTGTGCAAGAAATCGACCATTATTTAATCCAGAGCCTCAGACAAACTGGGAAATTGATTATTTTCCATGAACTGGTTCTTTTTCTGGTTTGTTTACATAGTCACACAATGATAATATCATACACAATTATATTATCAAAGCACCCAATAATGTAAAACGTGGATGTTTTACGTGTCTAAAGCAAATAAAGCGAATAAACTAGCCTTCATCCGCTCATCTTTTTACATAATGAGAAACCATAAAAACTTTAATTTCTCCCCTTCATTCAACCTCTCTGTTCACGTACGCAGTGTTGGGAACTAATTTACATAATTTGATTACAAAATAAATGTAAAAAATTGTGTAATTAAATTAGTTACTTATGAAAATGTTAACTATTACAAACGGGGTTGCATCTCTCTTTTTTCACACAAACACACATACAGATGTAATTGATTTCTATAATAAATTGCATTGACTGCTCTAAAATATGAGACACCAATGTTTCAGGAGTTTAGGACACATGCTTATTCAATACACAGGATAATAATGTTGTAAATAATGTTTAGTTTCTTGCACAGACCGATCGCTTTGCTTCATAAGACCTCAATATATCATCAGGAGCCACGCGTATTCATTTTGATATGGATATGCTTTTTCATTCTCAAAAACGGGCAGCCACTGACTTGCATTTTACGAATCAACTATCCTTTTAAAACCCTCAAGTATGAATAATTTCAAGGGAACAAATCATGCAAAAAATGCTCTTCGGAAATAAAAGAGTTCAATGTGCTGTGCAAACACACTCTACTGTTCAGAAAGCAAAGCTTGAAAGCTAAAGAAACCTTGACTAATTGAAGTCTAGAGAAAAAATAAAATACTTCCAAAACGGCATCCTAGCTCAACCTTAGACGAACATGGATCTACAGAGAAAGCTTCACTCACAGGGAAATACTTCTCCACAAGCGGAAAGTTCACAAATCCAATCAGAATCCAGGCTACGAGAGTCAGGAAGGAAACCCCAACGATGAACGGGACGAAGTAGCCGCTGATCTTATCCGCAAACTGCTGGATGGGAGCCTGAGATTGGGAAGTTTAAAAGGTTTTGTGAAGACCAATGGTTAGAAATACTAACCAGAAATCCAGGGACTGGGGCCCACTAGGGGCCTCATTAAATTATTTAAAATAACACAAAGCTAGGCTAAAAGAAGGCCTGAACTACCTGAACATTTTTTAATGAATATACACTTTTCTGTTTATGCCTCCTCTAAAATGTTTGATCAGGTAGAAATTGTGAGTAAAACATATTTTTTTAAATAATTTTCCAGAATCTAATAAAATCACATACGATTTTAGAAATTGTTGTGGACAATGGAGGGGGCCTTTAGAGTAAAAAAAACATACAAAATTAATTAATTAATTAATTAAGCAAATAAATAAAATGTTTTTTTTTACAGAACTGTTTTTTTTGTGTGAAGTTTTTATAAAAAACAAACAAAAAAATTGTTTGTTTTTCATTTTTAAAGACTTTAAAAAAAAGTAAATTTTTAAATTTTCAAAGACTTTTTGATTACGACAAAACATTCACAAAGCTATTTGTTTTATTTCATAGTTTCGATGGCGTCCTTTTTTTTCTAGTTTAGAAAGGCATGAGTATTTCAACTGTCAATGCAACCAGAAAATATGATTTATTAACTGTGGTTTATGCTATATATTTTTATTATTCAGACTTGAAAATAACATTAATTAAAACGAATTAAAATTGCAATTACAACTGGCAAGAACTACTATGTCAGTCTTGCAAATAAATAAATACACATTAATCTGGACTAATCTGGAGATTGAGAAGCTGTTATTTTTTCAAAAGACTGAGCTGACAGATGCACCTTTGAAGTCTGCGCCTCCTCCACCAGTTTGACGATCTGAGAGAGGGTGGTGTCTGTGCCCACGTGAGTGGCTTTGATCAGCAGAGAGCCGTTCTGATTGATGGAGCCTGCGATCACGGTGCTCCCCGGCTTCTTAGTGACGGGCATGGCTTCACCTACAGCACAGGACACACATCAGTCACTGCACAAATGGGCAAATTAAGGGAAGAAACATTACAATGAAAGTCAATTTCTAGATGATTTTGAGGAGAGGTGTGGTCGCTCTGACACTGCTATGCAGTAGTGTGTTTTTGTGCTGGTATCTTGGCTGGCCTGTGATGGATAAATAAATGACACTAAAATCACCAGTAGGTGGCAGCAAGTCCCTGACTGAATGAGTAATTCACTGAATCTTTCATTCAAATGATTCGTTCAAAACGGCTGATTCATTTAGAAACAAAACAAGCAACTGTCTGTATGAATGGATCATTGAATCATTGATTTAAATGATTCGTTCTAAAACAGGTTGATTCAGGAACGAAACACCGCAGTGTTGCTCTGCTCCGGCTTTTATTGGAACTATTTTAATGTACGGTCTGTAGAAAAGAATGTGTTTTTGAACCTTAAACCGCGTAAACACATTGAATTACACCAAATACACAAACTAATGTTCTTTTTAGCATCGTCATATGACCCCTTTAACTATATAATTCTTAAAAAAAAAATTTACAGAGCTATTTTTTGCTTTCATAACTTGAATTATAGGGTAATTCTAAATGCATTCTAATAGAATTCATCAAACAGTGAATGCTTTGGACTATCAATACGTCTTTTTGTTTGTTTTTTGCAAAGTGAGTGACATATTTAATAATTTCAGCAGACAAATCATTAAAGCAAAAATCACTATATTATTCTAGACAATAAACATCACACACTCCTATCTTGGTTCCCTCAAAAGTCTATGGCAGTGATTCTCAACTTTTTCAACTCCAAGCCTCCAGTAAGTATACTAATTAGGGCTGGGTAAAAAATATCGATATCGATTTTAATCGATTCTCATTTTTACGAAACGATATCGATTCTTAAATCCCAAGAATCGATTAGTCTAGCCCGTTTTCAGTTAATGGACGGAACATTGAAGCACACTTCCCATCCAATAAATTGCAATAAGAATTGTGCATTTTAATATGAAAATTAAATTTATTTCCATTGTATTGCAGTATTTAAACAATTAATGCCGTTTTGGCGCTGTTTAATGTGGAGTGACAGATCGCTGTAGCGCCTCAGTGAACTGATCATCTTCTGCACTTTATTACTAGTTATAGCACAAAATAAACATGACTAAACATCCGAAGGCAAGTTAAAAGAAAGAGTACAACTTTAAAATCCGTATCCTGTCTCATGTAATCACTCAATCAGTGTTTCAGCCGCGCAAAGACGTCAATATAACTTGTAAACAAGTCATGTAACATCACATTTACCTCAGAAAGCATATTCAGTTAGCATAATTTTGATATTCAGCCAGAAAAATAAACTGTAGAGAGGAGAATTTTGCTAAATATATGCACCATATAACATTCATTATATTTTTTTCATTATAAGTTAATGACAGCCACTATTTAAATGTGTATATTTCATATATATTACAGCATTAGAACGTTTGTTACCAATGCAAGATAATACAAGTGGCAAATTAAAATGACAGCACAGATAGCACAGAAATAGCACAGATGATTATGCTCAATAAATCGAGAGAAGCAGAAATCATGATCATGATTAACATACGATTCATTGTGCAACCCAAGTATGTGGAACACACAACAATTATCCTGCCTCGTTTGATTGCTCTCATATTAGTAAAGAGAAAAGCGCCCTCTTGAACCTGTAATGAGAGACTCGTCTGCCATCGAGTGTCCTTCAATCACTCTGCCATCGACTGGAAATTTCCCTCCGGGCACAACCTTCACAACATCTCCTCTCTGAACCAGCTCCACATCCACCTGCTCCTCGCTGAGAGACAGAGACATACACAAGGTCATATGTGCAAAGCTGTGCTTTCTGTTTAATAGGAAATACAATTTAACAGCACAGGAGACGCACAAACCTTAACACAGACATGTCATCATTCAGTGTAACAACCGTGGCCTCTGTCGCCTGTAAAGACATCAGCTTGGACAGAGCCTCCGAGGTCTTACTCTGCGATTCAAGACAAAGCCATATAAACATTAGCGCAGAGCAATGCAACAAATTAAGAGGTATAATTCTGGATTCTTGCAATTCTTATAATTAATTCTTCAAGAAATGGCTAAAAACACATATCTTTCATCTATACTTGATCCTCTTAACACTAGCACTCTATATTCTATTTCTATTCACTTGTTTTCTTTTTATTTATAAAAAATAATAAAAAAAAATTTAAATTACACTTGATCCTTTAACACTTGCACTCTTTACAATACAATACTTACTTTCTTTTCTTATTAATCAGGGTGTTCTCTTGCTAGTTTATCTGTTTTATTGTATTGTATTTTCTTTTAGTGTGTATTTGATCCGTTTTACGATTTTAGATACAGTACAGCACTTTGGTCAGCAGCTGCTGTTTTAAATGTGCTTTAGAAATAAAAATGCGTTGCCTTGCCTTTTTATTTTAAAAATAGAGCATGTGACACTATTCTTTTTCTATTCTATCTACTTGTTTTTATTTTTATTCAAAAAAATTATCCACTGACACTAATGTTCTAAATTCTTTTTCTATTTTTTCGACTTTTCTTTATTTGTAAAAAATAAAAAAAACGAGACCCTCTAACACCAACGTTCTCTATTCTATCTACTTGTTTTCTTTTAATTTATTATTTAAAAAAAACCTTGCTACATTGTACTGAGTTAAGCTAACTGAGACTTATCACAGCACTTTTGTTGGTTTTGATTGCATCTATTGTCCTCATTTGTAAGTCCTCTTTGGATAAAAGTGTTTGCTAAATGCCTAAATGTAAATAATTACGAGCATGCAGATGAATAGCTTGTGTAACTGGAAATGCTTGTTCACCTTTGCTATCTGCTCCAGCCACCTGCCCAGCGAGATGAAGACAAACAGCATGGGTGGAGTATCAAAAAAGGTGATGGGGTTCACTTTCGCTCCCTCCACCATGGCAACCAGGAGAATCACCACTGAGTATGTGAATGCAATTGTTGTTGCCAGAACAATCAGCACATCCATATTGGCCGTCCTGTGCTTGACAGCTTTATAGGCTTGACCGTAGAAATACCGCCCACCGATAAACTATTTAAGACAGACAAAACCAGTATGGTGACTAAATACAAAGAGATCTTTCATAAAGTATATACCAATGTCTTGGCATATTTTCAGTGAGCAAGGAACTTAAAGGGATCATATGATGTTGCTAAAAATAACATTATTTTGTGTATTTGGTGTAATGCAATGTGTTTACATGGTTTAAGGTTCAAAAAACACATTATTTTCCACATACTGTACATTATTGTTTCTCCTCTATGCCCTGTCTTTCTGAAACGCGTCGATTTTTACAAAGCTCATCGGTCTGAAAAGCGAGGTTTGCTCTGATTGGCCAGCTATCCAGTGCGTTGTGATTGGCTGAATGCCTCAAGCGTGTGATGGAAATGTTACGCCCCTTTACCATATTTAGAAACACACAGCGTCTCCTCGACATGGCGGCGGCAACAATACTACAGCGATAATAAAAGTTACGCCTTCTTTCTTTGTCCTTTGCAAATCGTCCAACACAGTGACATAGACATCCGAGATACAACTATTTGAAAATCTGGAATCTGAGGGTGCAAAAGAATCAAAATATTGAGAAAATCGCCTTTAAATTTGTTCAAATGAAGTTCTTAGCAATGCATATTACTAATCAAACATTAAGTTTTGATATATTTACAGTAGGACATTTACAAAATATCTTCAAGGAACATGATCTTTACTTAATATCCTAATGATTTTTGGCATAAAAGAAAAATCCATAATTTTGACCCATACAATGTATTGTTGGCTATTGCTACAAATATACCCCAGCGACTTATGACTGCTTTTGTGCTGCAGGCTCACATATGCACAAACAGCTCGTAACACTCAAAAGACAAAGGAAAACATGAAATAGCATCATATGACCCCTTGAAACATAGAAAGTGCATTTATAATCCACAAACTGGCAGGTAACCGACCTGCACAGGGACACAGAAGAGAAACGAGATCAGGTTCATGATGGAGAGGCCCGGCAGAAGCTGTTTCTCCAGGAACATGGTGGAATGGTACTTCTCTCTGTCCTCGGCCGTGGTGTTGTGGTGGTGGGACATGTCGATCTGGTGATCCACGATTATCATGTAGATCATCATGCCCATAACAGGCACGCAGAAAAACAAGCTGATGAGGAACGATCTCTTCCATCTGCGAGGAAACAGGATGCCAACATTAGCTCTGATCTACTACCTTGTGAGCTGCCTAACAAGACTGCATTTTAAGAGTTCGTTCACATAGAAAGCGTTTTCCATTCCATTGTGCTACTTTTCCATTGTTTTTCTATGTAAAGATCTATACTAGACAGACGTGTATCACTGCTGTAAGCCTCCCCCGGGTCCTAAAGCCCGCTCAGTAATGAGTTTTAATTCCATAGGGGGCGCTGTTGGCCTACTTCTAATAAAATGAAAGTAAAATACACAAATAACATTTAGACTGTTTCTGATTAAATAAAGCAGTAATTTATGTCATAAAATCATGAGTATGTTTTGATTTAAAGGTCAGAAGCTATAGCTTACATGAATAAAAAAATTACAAACATGACACTTGTAAATTAAATAATTTTACATATACTGATATATTCATTAATGTGCAATATGTTATATTTTTAAACAAATTATGAGCTCTAAAATATATTTAGAATTTATTCTAATAAAATGAAAGTAAAATACACAAATAACATTTAGACTGTTTCTGATTAAATAAAGCAGTAATTTATGTCATAAAATCATGAGTATGTTTTGATTTAAAGGTCAGAAGCTATAGCTTACATGAATAAAAAAATTACAAACATGACACTTGTAAATTAAATAATTTTACATATACTGATATATTCATTAATGTGCAATATGTTATATTTTTAAGCAAATTATGAGCTCTAAAATATATTTAGAATTTTTACAAATCTTTTGCTTTAGACCATCTACAAATGTTAAATCTTAAAATAAAATGTTAAGGTTACTACTGCATCTTTCTGGAAAAAAAATGCAGCAATTAATATATAGTTTATTTATAGTTATTTTCAAAGCATCAATGTACTGTCATTATAAAATAACTTCATAATTGTTTATTTAATTCTAACAAGCAAGTTCTTGCTAAAAATGAACCAAAATTAAAAATAATTTGCTTATAATTTCCACACAGGAGAGTTTCCAAACAAAAGGCAATATATCGGCATCGGCCAAAATAAGATGAAAATTATCGGCATATCGGACATCGGCAAAAATCCAATATCGTGCATTCCTAGTTAGGTATTTATGTATTGCTCTTATTCGCTCATGCACTTACTGTTGGATCTCACGGCTGTGATCCAAGTGACTGCCAGGACGATCTTTCTTCACCAGAGAGGCTGTAAATCCCAAGTTCTGTCCATCAAAAAAGGGAAGTTCATGTCAGAACACACGCTACAAAACGGTTATCATGGTTCCCTATAATATTATTTATAGCTTTGTTCCAGAACATATTGAACTGACATACAACTTTATAAGTAACTGATTCTGAATGGCAAGTAAAACAGTGCTCTTGGTGTAAAACCAATCACTGATTATCATACTTTATGCTTAGCAAATTGCTGAATATATACACACATATACATACATACACACACACACACACTACCGCTCAAAAGTTTGGGATCAGAACGATTTTTAATGTGCTTTACAGGAGTTTCTTCTGCTCATCAAGGCTGCATTTATTAGATCAAAAATACAGGAAAAAATGTAATATTGTGAAATATTATTATGATGTAAAATAACGTTTTTCTATTTTAATATACATTAAAATCTAATTTATTTCTGTGATGCTCAGCTGTATTTCCAGCACCATTACTCCAGTCTTCAGAGTCACATGATCTTCAGAAATCAGTATAATATGCTGATTTATTATCAGAGCTGAAACTGTTGCTGCTTCATATTGTTTTTGGAACCTGTGATACTTTTTTCATGATTCTTTGAGAATAAAAAGTAAAAAAGAAGAGCATTTATTTAAAATAGAAATCCTTTCTAACAATATACACTACAGTTCAAAAGTTTGGGGTCAGTACATTTTTATTCTTTCTTTTTTTAAAGAAATTAAAACTTTTATTCAGCAAGGATGTGTTCAATTGTTAAGAAGTGATAGCAAAGATTTATATTGTTAGAAAATATTTATATTTTGAATAAATGCTGTTCTTTTTAACTTTCTATTCATCAAAGAATCCTGAAAAAAGTATCGCAGTTTCCCAAAAATATTGTGCAGCACAACTGTTGATAACTCTAATAATAAATCAGCATATTACAATGATTTCTGACGATCGTGTGACACTTTATACTGGAGTAATGGCTGATGGAAATTCAGCTTTGCATCACAGAAATAAATTATATTTTAAAGGACATTAAAATAGAAACCATTAGTTTTATATTGTAATAACATTTTACAAGATTACTGTTTTTTCCTGTATTTTTTATCAAATAAATGCAGCCTTAATGAGCAGAAGAGACTTCTTTAAAAAACATTACAAGTCTTACTGATCCCAAACTTTTGAATGGCAGTGTATATATATATACACACACACACATATACACATAATAAATATAATGTGGGTGGGTGTGTGAACATGAAAGTGAATTCACCTCTATCCATCTGATCACATCTCTCGGGCCGGTCACTTCTGGGTCATGTCTGATGTGGGCTTTATTAGTTGCCAGGGCAACTGAAGCATAGAGGATGCCCTTCTGCTTCATCAGGTTAGACTCAATTTTGTGAACACAGGAGGCACATGTCATCCCTCTGACCTATTAAAAACAACAAACTCGTGTTGATAATAAATGGGTCAAAAATCAACAATAGGATCTGCGGACATACTAACCACAAGCTCCAGAATCCCATCAGAGCCGTCATAATTCTCCATCACTGAAGCCGTGAAGCCGAGCTCTCGGATAAACTCCGCTATTCTCTGAGGATCGATGATCGACGGGCTGAATCGAACCTCGGCTTTACTGGCCATCAGTGCAACCAAAACTGAGTGTACACCTGAGGAAAAGAGACACGATGCCACATTAAATACAGCCATCCTGAGATTTTAACACTGTGTATGTAAACAAGCATTCTAACCTATTATTATGAAATATGTTCTGATCAATTTTAGACACCATCATTATGATTTAATACAGTGCAATTATATTCAAGCATGATTGTGTTACCAATTACCAATGCTGGCTAGAAACTGATTACATGTAATCTGAATTACAAAAATTAAGTACTTGTAATTAAGAGTATATTACATTTTAAAATGCTCATAATAATCGGATTACCATTGCTTTTTAATGGATTACATGATTACATATCATTCACACAATACAAGTAAATTATTCATAATTTATTGATTCTCTTTTAGTTTTCCTTTCTAAAAATCACAGTGATGGTCAACGGTCACATTAACATTAACATGCAGGCAAACAAATAAATCTTCTATATTTGTTATACATATATTAAATATAAAATAGTGTTTACATTATTTTTATTTTACATTTTATGATTTAATTATTAGCGTAACCCACTGCATTTTATTGAATTATTACAAACACACTGCATTTCTTACATTAAGCGCAGTTTGGGAAACCCTGGTGTAATGTTTAATGCATTTTATGCACAAACATTTTTTTTTTCTATTTGCTTTTTTATATCAATGTGGTGCATTTAATGGTAAGTTTAAAACAAGCTTGATTAAAAAATGTATCTAAAAGTAGTCAGAATACATTCTCTGAAATGAGTAACTTAGATTATGTTACTAACTACAGTTTTCATCGTGTAATCTGTAATCAGTAAGCACTGGGGATACCATGCTCGTTCTTGAGGTTCCTCTCAATGTTGGCCACGCAGGAGGCACAGGTCATTCCACCAATCTGGATAAAACATTTGGAAATCGTGTTTGTTGCAGGCTCAGCGTCACTCTCTGCTTCATCCTCTTTCACGGCTGACCAGACCGGAGATAACGACGAGCTCAGGACAGACGGTGCTGGAGGCGATGGGCTTTTGACCACTGAAGGCACCAATGAATTTGTCTCTGTAAACATGACAGGACAAAGTTAAAAGTGACCGAAGTACCCCGGTTACATCACCGAAAGTGTGTAATGTAATGGATTTCGTAACTAACTACACTTTTTGCCGTGCAATTTGGAGTCAGTAACAGATTACAATTTGTAAGTAATCTACCAGCACTAATTATGTTTTATAAAACGGAGAGTTCCGGTCCTTGATTCTGATTGTTTGCCGGAAGAATACTGTTTTTATTAATATCATTACACTTTATTTGCTCTGTTTTATTTTGTGAAACCTAACTACGTATATGGAATAACCATTTTATAAAAGCAATAAGCCCCAAGAAGCCGTGGCTTACAATTAATTTATAACCGCTAAGGATGTTTTAGGCAATCCGCTTCGTGTCGTACCTAACAACGCCCCTTAGCTGTTGTAAATTCACTGTAAACCAAGGCGTCTTATTGCTTTATTTGTTAAGTACTGCATCAGAGGTATTTATAACCAAAAAGCACCATAATTGGGACAATGTAGAGCTGTTATTAGGGCTGCACGATTAATCGAATGCGATTGTCATGAGCATTTTGTTAGTAAAGCCGGTTCTGTAATCAGCAGGAAATCATCCTCACGTGCTTTCAGATGGAGCAGCATTTACTACACAGAGCCGTAGTTCACTGACAAGTTACGCAACAAAAAAATTGCGACGATATTATTGCGCGATTGTGAAATCGTTGGCGATAATGACGGCTGTTTGCATAGCTTCTCAGTGAACTACGGCTCTGTGTAGTAAATGCTGCTCCATCTGAAAGCATGTGAAAATACCACATTTAAATAAGATGGTTTTACTCCAAACTCACTTCATAACGTCGGTCGAGTGTTTGAAATAAATCCTTCTGTGAGATGTGGCTTCTTACACAGAATAAGGCACGCAACATATTTCATAGTATTTAAGCAGTGATAAAGGCATTGCATTATCTATATACTTTATTTTAATGAAAATTATAATAATAATAATAACTCTAATAACTCTAAATAAAAACAAAGATAAACCATATATTGTCATAATCGTGTGTTCATTAGTCACGTTGAATCGATAGGCATTTTCTGGGTTTCTTCTGCGAGGCGTATTTGGAGTTTCTCTGGCCTTCGGATGGAGATTTACTGCTGATCACAGAACCGTGCTTCACTGAAAGATACGCACGACAATCACAGCTTCTGTCGAATCGCGATCTCGATTCCATTTCGATTTATCGTGCAGCCCTAACTGTTATACAGCCTATATAACTGTCAGTAGTAAAGACATATAGAAGGGAAGATACACATGGGCGGTGCTAGGGAGGGGCTAGCAGGTGCTTCAGCACCCCAAGAAAGACAAAAGCACCCCCATTAGGCCTGTCACGATAACAACTTTTTATTGTGCGATATATTGCCACAGAAATAATTGCGATAAGCGATATTATTGCCATTTTAAAGACCATTTTATGCCACTGAATATATAATCCTAATGTAACAGCATAATAATGCAAGAAGGCCTACACACTTCCAAATGACAACAAACTTTTAATATTTAAGAATATTTAGATAATGTAAATTAAGTATCAAAATGTTAGACATACCTTAAAAAAACTGAATAAATAGTACATAAACATTTTCTAACAAAAAGTGCAAAGTAACAAATTAGAAAAAAAGAAAAATGCACAAAGAACTTGTATGGAGATTTTTCCATCTACAGATTTTTCCCTGACCTTCTCTTCTCTGTAAATTAAGGGTGCACACTATTGCTGAAAAACACAATCACTACTCAGCAGTCAGATGTCCGCATGCACAAAGGCACAGATCCCTAAACAAGGCCATATCTGCAGATTAAACTTTTTTTTTTGTAGAAGCATTTTTTAAATGTGAACGAGCACCTCATGACTGCACCACGTCATGTACGAGAAGTTTCAAAAGACACAGGTGCAAGTGAAATGTACAAAACATGGTGACATTAATTTTTAAGTAAATATAATGGGCGATATATTGCGTCACCAAATATTATTGAGGTCATGTACATATATTGTGCGATAAGTCGATATATTGATTATTGCGACAGGCCTAACCCCCATAGCACCCCCACAGATTTTTTCCTGGAATCAATTATATACATGCTATAGCCTATTGTATTTAATAATTAAGATAAAAAAAATATATATATATTTTTTGACTCCTTATGCATGCATAACTCGTGCAATGCACTAACGACGTGATTTGCAGCTGTCGCACTTTTCGTAATGTCATTATAGCATTTTATTTTAAAAATGGAGCACTTCCTTGTGCTAAGTAGGCCTGCCCCCGACTAAAGATTTTTCTAGTCAACTACTCGCACGTTATATTAAATTGATTAATATAATAATATATTAACCATCCTTTAATATATAAGCACACGTATTAGGCTATAGCCTATTCCGCGCTCAAGCTCGCGCATAAAGCAACTGCCTCAAAGCACCGGCAAAGTGAATATAAACGTGTCGCGGGAAAAGAAGACATTAGCTTATCTTTGCTGTTTACCTCACGTTATTTATTGATTTATTTTTATTTGATTCCTCAGTGTTTGCTAAACGTTCTGTAATTTATTAGTCGGCATATAATACAGCATGTGTAGGCTATGCCATGCCTTGGCTTATTCGTTTTTGTTAATAAACGTTTCGTAAGCTAGTTTGTCATTGTATCTTACTGTTTTATTGTTGCAGTGCTTTTGAATTAAAAATAACAACGAATCCATCTTTTGTTTTAGTCTTAAAAAGTGAAAGGTGTGTAGATGTATGCAAGCAAAACAGACAAATATCTTTTATTGTAAAACGTGACAAGATCGCGAAATCGAAAGTGAAAGCATCCGAAGCACGGCTTATAACACCGCAAAAGAGGAACTCCCGTTCACAAAATTCAAATCACAAATAATACTATAGGCCTACTGATGAAAAAGAACGGGTTGAATGTTAACCACTTTCGTTTCCATATAACTATAAACTATGATAAAAGTTCATCAGCATGCATTGATTAATCCCATGTTGTAGCAAAAAAATTAAAAAACATGTGCTCGTGCGACCAACTGAGAAAGTTAGTCGCAAAAGAGCGACCAGTGGGAAGAATGAGTCTGGAGCCTCGAATTGCCCAGCTCCCCCTGTTAATGATCTAGCACCCCCTCAGCACCTGCGTTCAAAATTCTCTGGCGCCGCCCCTGAAGATATAAGAAGACAGAAGATGCACTTACCAGGGAGAAAAGCATCAAAGCCCATGTCCTCTACGGCGGCCCTCAGCTCCTCAGGGGTCGTCACTAAAGGGTCATACTCAAAGGTTCCCTGATGATTGGCCAGTGACACTTGGGCCGATCTCACGCCTTTCTTCTGGGAGATCATGCCCTCGATGGACTGAACACAGGAGCCACAGGTCATGCCCTCGATGTGGATCTCCGCGACTGATACCAGCGGCTGGAGGAAGCCTGGCTCTGGGGAAGCTGGGAGGATAGCTTTAAAATCCCCTGGAGGAAGGGCTTCGATGGATTTCTGTAGCTCCACCGCTGAGGCTTGTTTTGGGTTGTGCTGAATCGTAGCTTGTCTGTTCTCCAAGGACACAACGACCGAACTCACTCCAGGCAGCTTGGATATATTGTCCTGAATATTGACCACGCAAGACTTGCAGTGCATTCCCGTCAGCTGAAACACTGTCGTGATGCTGGAGTCTGTGCACGGCTCTGAAGCCTTCTCCTCCTGTTTGTGAGCGCTGAGCAGGCGCTCGACTTCACTAGCTGAAAGCTTTAACTGACGAGGTTTTGCTTTAACAATGGCTTTGAAACCAGCCACCTCGATTTGGTTCACAATCTCATCCACCGTGACGATGCAAGGCAGGTACAGTACAGCGGCCTCCTGGGATTCGAGAGAGACTGAAAAAGCACGGACAAAACCAAATTCAATTATACTCAGGAAATGTTAAGAGTTAATAAGAATATGCACACTCGTCTCAATAAATAAAGTTTGTATGTGTTTTGCTTATGCAACAGTGGTCATATGTGACCCTGCAGCACAAAAGCAGTGTTAAACTTTAAAATTTTAGTTCTTTAAGGTTTATAAAAAATAAAAAAAAGGACCCCCATTGTTTAGGACATGGTTATGACCAGTGCTGGGTAGTAACTGATTACATGTAACCTGGATTACGTAATAAGATTAAAAAAATTAAGTACTTGTAATTAGAGTAGATTACAATTTAAAATGCTCATAATCAGATTATAGTTACTTTTTTATGGATTACATGATTATTCAAACAAAGGCAGTAAATTATTCATGTTATATTGGTTCGCCCTAACTCTTCTTTTTTCTCTTTTAAATCTTCCTTTAAAAAATTGAATACATTTTCTCTTTGCTCTTTTTATATGAATATGTTATGTTTAATGGTAAGTTTAGAACAAGCTGGATAAAAAATATATATCTAAAAGTAATTAAAGTAGTGAGAATACAATACCTAAAATGAGTAACCTAGATTACATTACCAACTACAATTTTCATCATGTAATCTGTAATCAGTAACGGACTACATATGTAAGTAATCTACCCAGTACTGATTACGGCCTTGCCTTAGTGCAACTTTAAGAAAGATATAAGAAAGGGAAGGTCATATTGCATTAAAGGGGTCATATGATGCGATTTCAATTGTTCCTTTCTCTTTGGAGTGTTACAAGCTCTTGGTGCATAAAGAAGATCTGTAAAGTTGCAAAGACTAAAGTCTCAAATCCAAAGAGATATTCTTTATAAAAGTT